AAAAAAAAAAAAAGAGTTTGAGAGCAGCCTGAGCAAGAGTGAGCCCTCATCTCTATTTTAAAAAAGAAAACTAGCCAGGCATCATGGGGGTGTCTATAGTCTCAGCTACTCAGGAGACTAAGGCAGAAGGATCTCTTGAGCTGAAGAGTTTGTGATTGCTGTGAGTTGTGATAATACCACAGCATTCTACCCAGGACAACAGTCTGAGACTCTATCTCAAATAAATAAGCTCATCCCAACACATTACAATGATTTTATAATTCACTAATGTGTCTCATAGTTGAAAAATACTGATAAAATTGTTAGGATTCCATCAAAAGCCAAATTTGAGTTCAGATTCTAATTCTGCTTAAGTAGTCATGTGATATTGAATATGTTACTTGGTCTCTTGTAAGCTTCCATTTTTCTTGTATATATTTTCTTTAATACTTACCTCCTAGAGTTGTAAGAATTAAATAATATGATGTTGATAAGCACTTAGTAACACACGTAGCACATAGTGACAGTCCTATAAGTGAGTGAATGAGTAACATGTGTGACCACTGATATGGACAGATACCCCAGGTATGTAATGAAAACAAGAAAGATGTAGCTCCTTGTATAAATTTCACATTTTAAAAAAGATATCCATGCATATTTCTATAAGTATAGATAATTTCTTCCAGAATTCAAAAAATTAATAACGATAATCTGAAATGAAGGGTTTATTTTTACTTTATGAACTTATGCTGAATTACTTTGAAGTTTTATATACATGTCTAATTGATTTTTTATAAACTAGATTTTAAACGTTATTGGCATTAAGGTGAAGTTTTCATATGTAAAATGGGCCTGCATAACTTCTTTCCAAGAATCATAATTTTCTTTTTTTGGTTGTAGTTGTCATTGTTTGGCAGGCCCGGGCTGGGTTTGAATTCCCCAGCTGTATGTGGCTGGCACCCTAGCCACTGAGCTATAGGCACCAAGCCAGGAATCATAATTTTCAAGTGAGAAAAATAGGAAAGCATTTTTGAAACTAAATGTTTACAAATTATATTTATTCAGAAATATGCTATGATAGAGGGCAAAAATATAATTATATAATTAAAATTATTTAAATAATAGTAACCTCTCTTCTGTGTTTGAGTGGTTTATTGTGCTAATAAATACATTGTAGAGTTGACATTGCCGATGCTCACTTAATATAAATTTCAGCGAAAGACATTTGGAATTTTAAGTTGTCATCGTGAAAGAAATTTAACAGTTTGATATTAAACAAGATATTTTAATCACTTTGTTAAACTTTTGAACGTAGTGAGTGGTTGTTTTTTAAAATTTAAATGTTGTACAACAAAAATAGTTATGTCACAAGGGAAATAAATAACAGGGCATTTTGTGGTAGAAATCACATAGAAAATCTAATGAAGTACTTAGAGCCCATATTTCCACGTTAATATTTGTTCTTATTTTCTTCCAGGAAACGTCCTGATCAGACATGGGTTCAGTGTGATTCCTGTCTAAAATGGCGAAAATTACCAGATGGGATAGATCAACTTCCAGAAAAATGGTATTGCTCCAATAACCCTGACCCACAGTTCAGGTATCATCTAGTTGGTAGTACCCTTTTGGGAAAGGCAGAAAGTACTGTTGAAGATGTATGAATAGGTGCTGTGTTAATCCCGTGCGATTTTTCTGACTAGAAATTGTGAGGTTCCAGAAGAACCCGAAGATGAGGATTTGGTGCATCCCACTTATGAAAAAACCTACAAAAAGAAGTGAGTGTTATATTAATGTATGGTAGGGAAGTAATGCCCAAATCACGAACAGTGATGTGTTGCCAACATTAGTTGATGTGTCCCTGGAGCCTGGAGGTAAAGTTAATGTGACTGAAAAAGATTATGATGTGGAATACATAATAGCAAGTGCTTTAAAAAAATTTTGTGCTGTGGATACCTGATGTTTGTTTACTTTATGTTTATTGCTATCCTAACTATAAGACAGTTTGCATAAGAGTACTTTATTTGGGGGTCATACAGAGATGAAACATTAGCTAATAGTTTTCCTTTACAAACTTATTGTGAAGGTATAACAGAGGGTGAGATAGCCATAAAAGCTACAGACTAGTACCGTAAGGAAGCTCTCGAGGAGATAGTGCTTCTGGCTGGGGGAGGGGTGTGCAGAAATGGATCAGGAATCTTCATGAGAGATGTCTTTATAACAGGCCTTGGAGCATGGATATGATGAGAGTGTACAAGAAACAGTCATGTGTTCAGTTTAACGAGAGTAAATATGTGAATGAGAATAATGGAAAATGGAGGTGGGATACATAACCTGGGTAATAACAGCCAGGGGGAGATTAGGCTATTTAATGTACTCTACAGAGAAAACCACGTTCACTAAGAATTTTCAGATAGCTTTGATATGTAGTGTGCTGAGGTGAAGAAACCAGTTAGAATCTTATGTGGTATTCCACTCAGTGGTCTGGGATTCATGCCTATGGGGATGAAAAAATTGAGGCAGATGTTAGAGTGTGACTGAGTTAAAAGGTGGGAAGTATTCATTCCCCTGTCTTAAGAGCTCACTGCTGGTGACAGTGGAATTATAATACAGTTACAATGCATAGAGTTTGGTGTATGTCTCACAGTAACTCAGTAGTGAAATGGCAGGTATGTCATTGAGGAATGGAATTGAGGAATAATAATAAAGTAAATATGTTAATTTTTCATCTTTCTTTTAAAGCAATAAGGAAAAATTCAGGATCAGACCACCAGAAGTGATAACTCGGGTAACTAAGCCTTTCATTTTATCTCTGTGCCTGATATTGTCTAGTGCTTAGTTTAACCAATATGGAATGCTGAAGCTGGGGCCTTATGTAGCATCATGAAGGGGTCTAGTTTACTCAGGTCACACTTTACTCTTGTACTCTTCCTTCCTAACAACATCGTTCACGCTTTGGTTTTATTGTTTAGTTGGGTATCTCTGAGGAAAGGGAAACCATCTATTAGGAATCTTATTATTAGATAGGCAGTTAAGCAGTGTCACAGGAATACCCGGGAAGCTATATGCTAGTGCTTACTTAAGACAGAAATGGCGGCTCGGTGCCTATAGCTCAACCGGCTAAGGCGCCAGCCACGTACACCTAAGGTGGCGGGTTCGAATCCCCAGCCCGGACCCGCCAAACAAC